AAGGCTAGGTTAACCACATGCTCCAACTGTTTACATAGGTCCGGTTTAGAGCCTCTTATATAGGCTGCCTCCAGGTATCGCAGGCTACGAGATGTGTGCTTGAACAAGAATTTGCAATGAGGTTTTAGGGTCCACAGAATGACCCGTGTCCAGCAAGTGTTCCGTAATGGAGGAAAGAGGGATTTGGTTTTCCTGCTTGAATAGCCAACTAGGCAAGTGTTCCTTAGCTCTGGCTGCTAATTGCATTTGCGTTTGCCCTATGTACTTGCATCCGCAAGTGCGTGTGAATTCCTAAACGCAATTGGAGGTGTCGTGCAATGGTAAGGCATCCTTCGCACAAGGAATTGGTAGGGGGCTTAGTTGGAGAGCAGAATATGAGCTCAGCGGCATAATAGGTTCTGTTGCAGGAAGCATGGCATTCACGCGCGGGCTTAATTAACAGTCATGTCGAGCTTCCAGATGCCTACCTCGCGTTGCGCGAGCAGATCGATGGCAGAGGTCAATACCTTCTGAACGACTTAATTACACTGTGAGCTGTACGTTTTTTCATTCCTTGACAATGAGCTCACGGAAGAGTTCGAAACGTCGGACAAATACACTCCTGGTCCCAGAGAACGTCTCATCTTCTTCTATTCAGTTACCTGGGCCTCGCAAATTCTCGACTATTCAGAATAGGTGCTTTCTATGGCCTTGAGTAGGCGTCTCATGATAGTGTTTAAAATGTTATCACCCTTAAAGTGCAAGGAAACGAATACAGGCTTTTTTGGAGCTAAGAGTTCACTCATTTTTGGTCGCAAGGGTTTGCTACATTTGTCTTTAAACTGAGGTAAATATCCACGCTTGACTAAGGTATCTTTGAGACCGTCTAATTCTGCGTCCAAAGTATCCACAGAACAGATTTTTCTAGTCCTCTGGAAAAGGGTACACATCAAGTCACGTTCCCATTGAATGGGAACAAAATTTAGATAGTGCAAGTACTGACCTTTTCAGGTATTCTTGTGGAAGACCCTCCGTGAAATTGTGCCTTCTGTCTGTCCGGACAAGCGGACGTTGAGGAAGGAGAGTTGGTTATCTCGTTCTATTTCCATTGCCTATATCCTATAAATACTGCAACGTCCTACGCATAAGTTTTCCGCTTCTGCTATTGATTTCTGCTAATGTCTCGGACGAAGAATCCGTCAGGCGAATAAAAGTGTTGTCCCAGCGATCGAATCGTCTTCTTATGAATGCCCTTGTTCCAATTATCGCGTCTCCTTCTTCGCAACTACTTCCTGGAACTCGCCTCTCCGTACTTGTCATCACATTGGGTCGACCGCGATGTCTGGGTTCAATCACCAACTAGTAAATGCTACGTCTTTCGCGCAGCATGATAGATTCACGAATAAATGAAAAGGTCCGCGTTCCAGGTATCTGCATGGATAAGGAAGAAGAAGTGTCGAGCACCGGATCAATTGATTTATTGTCCTGAGCTTTCGAACCCCTCCAGGAGTCCATCTTCATAGATGAGGAGTAGCAACAAAACGAGGGTAATTATATTGGCCATAGGCCAATCAACTGTCAGAAATAATCAGGTTGTCCTTGGGGTAGGAACAGCTATCAAAAGGGATGGGGGAGGAGGACAAAGAAAGGACTGAATGGTACCATTGATTTATATGGCTTCAACTGTAGATGTTTTATCCGTTCAAGGAACTGTTTGGCAGAAGCTACGGTTGTTGCCGAGCCTTCTGCCAGGAAGTTCAGATGAGTAAAAACCTATTTTGCCAAACCGTATGAGGGGATGCCACGAAGGGGGACGGTTGGCCTAAGTGTGAACTTTTTGTGAACTTTCGGCAGACCATGAAATCGTGCTGGGGTTGTGTCGGTTGGCTTCATGGAAAACCAATCGCTGGGCGTGATTGCAGACCCGCCTTCACGAGCACAAACGGGCAGCTGGGAGCCTAGACCCAAACTCTCAACTTGCAGCACATGTCGCAGAGACTGGCCATGACTTCAATCTTCAAGGAGCGACCATCATAGGCCGAGGAAACTCAAAAGCCGAAAGGCTGATGCTTGAGGCATGATGCTCAGATGCCAACTCCATGAACAGGCATCTAGACCTCCCCGCAGCCTACAAAGTCTTGCGCCATCATGAGAGCGAAGGACGAAACAAGACCAAACCGAACGTAAGAATTGCAAACGAAGAAGATCCCACGACAAGCCGGCCATAAGAGGAGGCAGAGTTACCAGGACTCTCTACCGGGTGACAAGGCGTCACACTAATTGCTGTTCAGGACCCCCTGCTCCTCATACAGCTAAATAGCGTACACCGCTATAATTGCCCCCGACTCCACTGACAGCTTATTACCCTCCTCCCCCATTCCTTTTGATAGCTGTTTCTACCCCCAGGACAACCTGATTATTTCTGACAGTTGATTGGCCTATGGCCACTATAATTACCCCCGTTTTGTTGCTACTTCTAACCTCTGAAGATGGACTCCTGCAAGAGTTCGAAAGCTCAGAACAATCAATCAATTGAGCCGGTGCTCGACACTTTTTCTTCCTTATCGATGATAAATTCAAGCACGTGGGTAAGTTTATAATGAGGAAGTCGGTCTCGGTCACTCTACCCCTTCTCAACACCAGTCGAGCCGTTCAATCAACTGAAGCTGAGATTGAGAAAG